AAATGGGATAGATCCAATGCAATTACAAAACATTTATGAATGCTCCACAGTAATTTCCTATTTCGTCCAAATGGTCTGAGTAATTGGAGAAGTGGTTTTGAATGCGTTCAACAGCACTAGATTTTTAATCTTTCGAAAACCGCCTAACATAACAACAGTAAATACACACTTTGACTTGAGAACAGATTAAAAAAACCTTTATTTACCAGCTTTATTAATTAAGATACATTATATACAATAAATGCAATAATATACAAGGAATCTATAGTATAATGCTATATAACAAATATGCTATAATTTACAATAGTTTTGGTTAAGATGGCATCAGCTAAGGAAAATGGAAATCAAAAAGTTAAGAGCTGTTAATCAGGTATAAGATAAAGTATATTTTTGCGAATATAAATTGTTTGAAATTACAATTTGTGAGAAAGTTTCGCTGAAACAGTTTAAATTGGTCACATCACGCAAGGAAACGACGCACGTCAGGTGCACCCGGCATCACTTACGTCAGCGCGAGAACGTTTTCATTCTAATCTGCACGTGCAAGCTCAATTAGAATTCGCTTAATTCTGAAATTTGGAAAATCGCACGAATTATATATTTATTTGAATATTTTCAACGTTATGAAGAATTATCGAAGATTTGCGTATATTTTCAACTATATAAGAGACGGTGTAAACTGCTTCATACTTTGTGTGTTAATTCTTTGGTTGTGTTCTAAATCAAAGCCTTATAATCCTCCTCGCAGAAATGCTAAAGACCTAGTTATCAACTCAGAACTTGCAGTTTTACCGGAAAAATTATGTATAATTTGGACTGCTATTCGTGATCTTAAGCAAACGAAGTTTTACTATCCGCTGAACTATCGTTACGGACTAAATCTTCAAGTGAATCAAAAGCTATCTCACGTTGTCTTATTAATTTTGCTCGCTGGTGATTTTGCAACTAATCCTGGCCCAGCGTATTATTCAGCTTCAACGAACAGTGCTTCAAGAAATTCGAATGTTGATAAATTTAATTATTTTGAGACATTTATTGACATGCTTGATGCTGAAAATGTCGAGTACTATTTATTGGGTGACCTAAATTGTGATCTCGGGTCGCCTGATTTAGAGAGTAATTCGAGATCATTAGTAGGCATCACTGAGCTCTATGGTTTACATCAATTGATAAGTGAACCGACTCGACTTACTGAAACTTCCTCAACTATGATTGATCATATATTCACCAATACACCAGATAAAATTGTTTGCTCCGGTGTTTCTCATGTCGGTATTAGTGATCACAGCTTAATTTATGCATTCCGTAAGCTTTCAACCGGTCTACACAATAAAGGCCATTCTACAGTAAATTATCGAAAATTTAAAAATTTTAACTCTGAAAGTTTTCGAAGTGATATTTTTTCACAGAATTGGGACGTCATAAGGGCGTATAATAATCCGAATGATATGTGGCGTGTGTGGAAAACGACCTTTAATAACGTAGTGCAAATGCATGCTCCTTTACGGACAAGGCGGGTAAGACTTTCTAAGTCGCCCTGGATCACGCCTGAGTTAAAAAGACATATGCATGAAAGAGATATTTTAAAAATCAAGGCTATTCGATCTAAAGATATTTATGACTGGGCTGCTTTTAGGAAAGCTCGCAACTCTGTGAACAATGAAATTAAATTTGCGAAGAAAGCCCATTATATGAATGCTTTTTATGAAAACGAGAGTAATGTGAAAAAAACTTGGGGTATTATTAATGAATTAACCTCAAGAAAACAAAATAATTCACATGTAAAAGAGATTAAACTTAATGGTTCTTCAGTTAGTGACCCCCCGGGGTTATCAGAGACGTTTAACACTCATTTTGCTAGCATTGAACCTAAGCTTATGGAGAAGATACCTTGTGATGAAAATAACTGCTCATATTTAGAATATCTCAATTGCCATATTGGTGGTAATACTTTTGAGTTGAAGTCGACAACTTCATCAATGGTGTGTTCACTTTTGGACAAACTCTGTAGATCTAAAGCAACTGGCCTAGATAAAATATCTGCTAAGCTGCTTCGCTACTGTCCTGACCTACTGTCGGAATCCCTTACCGTAATTTTCAATTGCTCTATTAATACCGGTATCTTTCCTGATGAATGGAAATGCTCAAAAGTCATTCCATTATTTAAACACGGTGAGCGTAGGGACTTGAATAATTATCGCCCAATTTCGATAATCCCTGTTGTAGCGAAGGTTTTCGAGCGAATTATTTATGATCAAATCTATGCCTTTCTTACTGACAACAATCCTATGTAATAGCTAGTCAGGGTTTCGATGTCTACATTCAACTGTCACCGCGCTTCTTGAGTCCACCAATAACTGGGCATACAACATTGACCAAGGCCGAGTTAATGCTGTAGTTTTCCTAGATCTTAAGAAAGCGTTTGACACAGTTAACCATGGAATTTTACTATAAAAACTGAATGCGTATGGTCTTGGGGGTGCTGTGGGTAATTGGTTTAAGTCTTATCTAAGTGACCGCAGTCAAAAATGCTATGTTAATGGTCACCTTTCTAACAATCGTACGTTACTCTGTGGTATTCCACAGGGGACTATTTTAGAACCATTGTTATTTTTATTGTATATAAATGACTTACCAAATTGCCTTGAGCACTCCCAAGCACGAATGTACGCGGATGATACTTATTTAACATTTGCAAGTAACAATATTGACGACATAAATTATCACCTTAATCATGACCTTGCAAATGTGAACAAATGGCTTATCGCCAATAAGCTTACTCTAAATCAATCCAAAACTGAATTTATGCTAATTGGCTCACGACAAAGAATAGCCACATTTCGATCAGTTCCATGTTTAGAAATCGACGGGGTTCCTATTGACAAGGTTTTACAAGCAAAGTCTCTCGGAGTGTACCTTGATGAGAATCTATCTTGGAATATACAAATTAATGAATTAACAAAAAAGATTGCTTCTGGTATTGGCGCTTTAAAACGTGTTCGATCATTTGTCCCAGTCGCAACATTGCAATTAATTTTTAATTCCTTGGTCCAGCCATATTTCAATTACTGTTGCACAGTTTGGGGCAATTGCAACAAAACCCTAGCTGAAAAACTTCAAAAACTACAAAATCGTGCAGCAAGAGTACTAACATTCTCCAGTTATGACAATAATGCTGATGGTTTAATTGAGAAACTTGGCTGGAAAAAATTATCATCCCAGCGCCAGTTTCAAAAAGCTGTCATGGTCTATAAATCATTAAATGGTCTTGCTTCTGATTACATGCATTCCATGTTTGTAAACCGTGACAGTGTTAATCCTTATTCGCTGAGAAACACTGAGAACAAACTAGCTGTTCCCAAGCCCCGCACGAACTATCTCAAGAATAGCTTTAGCTATAGTGGTGCGGTGCTGTGGAACAGTCTTCCGTTTGGGCTACGGCAAGCAAATAACTTGATAAATTTCCGATCGGGCTGTGCCAAATTATTTTAACTTTCCTTGTATATATTGTTATATTAGCTTAGTACACGGCCCTCATGAAAAGCAGGTATTATATTTTCTATTTACTTTAGCGTGGTTCTACTTTTGTAATTTATCTAATTTAGTTTGTTGCATGTTAAATCCTGATGAGAATACCGTGTGTAAATAAAGTTTTAATAATTTTTTTTAATAATAAAAGTATAAAGAGCATTCATAGAGATCCAGCGTCTAATGTAACAGTCTGCAATCTTCAGCGATTTCAAGACGGCGTATTCAATGAAAACTCAGATATTATATGTGTCAGTGAAACTTGGCTTACAACGGATATTAGTAACGATGAAATACTGCATTCTGGGTTCACAATCTATAGGAAAGATCGAATCAATCGTTGCGGTGGTGGAGTACTTATTGCCGTAATAACTGAGCATTTCAAATCTGTCAAGGAATTTGTGCCTGAATCTGAGGAAGCAAAACAACTTGAAATCGTGTCAGCTGAGGTAAGAACAGCTGATGACAAAAAACTGCTCTACTGCTGCTGTTACCGTCCACCGGTGCGGACCTGTCTTGGACGGCTAAATTTGAAATCTTTCTAAACCACGCTTGTGATCATTACGAAAACGTCGTTCTTACTGGAGACTTTAATTTTTCAAACATACGTTGGGAAGTGCCAGTAAGTACCTGTGGTGCTAATGAACTTCTCTTTGTGGAATCACTGAATGATCACTTCTTGTCTCAACTCGACAACACCCCAACACGCGGTAACAACATCTTAGACTTAGTTATTACAAGTGCACCAGATCATGTCAGAATAACAGAAATTTTGTCTCCTGATGAATCATCCATCTTTACAGACCATCATTCCATTTCGTTTGACTTTAATGCATTTACTAAAGCTCCAAGAAAAACTGTGAGAAATATCTACGACTACGAGAAAGGAGACTTACAAGCCTTGTGCGCTGCTTTACGAGAGCTTGACCTGTCTACAACTATCTCGGACCAACCTGGGGACATTGATGCTGATTGGGAGCGTTGGAAAAATGCCTTTATAACCGAAGTTTCCAAATATATACCGAAAAAGAGACTTAAAGTCGAAATCCGTTACCATGGTTGAATAGTAACATTCTCTATCAAATAAAGAAGAAAGATTCCATTCGTAGAAAATTAAAAGTCTCACCTACCAGTTATTTGACAGAAAAGTACAAAAACATGCGTTCTGAAGTTAAGAGGTTATTAAACGAAAGCCGAGAAAACTATTTCCGTGAAATTGACAGCAGCTTTAGAGTCAACCCAAAGCGCATGTGGTCAGTACTTAGACAAAAGTCCAAGTCATGTAGCATCCCGGATCGTATCTCTATGCCTGCAGTAACCACCACCAGTTCTCCCGATGGTCAACCTGGTTCTCTTCACGTTTCCCATGGCGAACAATCCGACCAGTCGCCAAGACCAACTGCTGCAAACCCTGTTGAAATAGCTACATTCTTCAATACCTACTTCGCATCCGTGTTTTCATCTGAAAACCAATGACGAACTTCCTAACGAAACCAGTGAAGTTTTTAACTGAACTAACTCTGACTGAACCCGAAGTGGAGACTATACTTAATTCCCTCGATACCAACAAAGCCACTGGACCGGATGAAATTCCAGCCAGACTCCTCAAAAATACAGCTGCTATAGTTGCTCCCTCTCTATGTAAGCTATTCAACAAATCCCTACAACATGGAATAGTACCTCGTGACTGGAAAATAGCAAACGTCGTCCCTGCGTATAAGAAAAATAACAGAGAGCATGCGGAGAATTATAGACCAATCTCCTTTCTACCCATCGTTTCTAAAGTTTTAGAACGTTGTATTTTTATAAACGTCAAGCAATTTCTGTCCCAACTCGTTAACGATTGCCAGCACGGTTTTCTTCAAGGTAAATCGTGCGTGACTAACTTGTTGGAAGTGCTGGATTACATCGGTACGTGTCTAGATAACGGCGGGCAAGTAGATATGTTGTACCTTGATATGTCGAAAGCTTTTGACCGAATCAACCACAAAAGATTGATACGCAAGCTATCCAATTCTGATATCGGCAGTAATCTACTGAACTGGTTCGAGTCATATTTGACAGATCGTCGTCAACGCGTGACTGTACTCGGCGTAACCTCAAGCACCCTTCCTGTGACCTCAGGCGTTCCACAAGGTTCAATTCTTGGTCCTGCACTCTTCCTGTTATATGTGAATGATCTACCCGAAGCAGACTTGTACTCTCGAGTTGCAATGTTTGCCGATGACACTAAGCTATTCTCGGCAGTTACATCTCAGGACGATGTAGCATCTCTCCAAGCTGATCTTGTGAACTTAGAACATTGGTCATCTCAGTCAGGCTTGTCCTTCAACAAATCCAAATGCAAACATCAGACAATCACGCGTAAGATTGTGCCATTTACGTCATCATATAAGCTAAAAGACACCAAAGTAACTACCACCGACTGCGAAAGAGACCTTGGCGTATGGGTGTCTTCCAATCTTACGTGGAAAAAACAAGTGTGCAACCAGACGTCAAAAGCGAACAAGTCCCTTGGCTACATCAAAAGAAACACCAGATTCGTGAAAAGTACTGAAGCAAGACGGATGTTCTACCTGGCCCTAGTTCGGTCACATTTTGGTTATGCAACACAAATCTGGGCACCACAATCAATAGAACTTATCAACCATCTTGAACGAACCCAACGACGTGCTACCAAATATATTCTAAATGTACCGTTCTCCTCGGATATAATTTATAAATAAAGACTGCAGTCGTTGCATCTCCTCCCAATATGCTACTGGCACGAATACCTTGATTTGATTCTATTCTTTAAGATCACACATGGTTTAGTGAAAACAAGCGCCTCTCCAGTTATTCAGAATTCTCGCAGAACCACTCGCTCAAATTCAAGCAACACAGTCAAGTATGTCATCCCCAGATGTAAAACAACCAGCTACCAGAAATCCTTCCTCGTTAGAACTTCCAGAATATGGAACACACTAATAGACGCAATAGACCTTCATACGGACAGTCTCGCTGTATTTAAATCATGTTTACTCAATTATTATTTTACCTCTGTTGACATTACTTATAATCCTGAAAATCCGCGAACATTTAGATCTTTATGCTTGAAATGCAACTGTGTTCGTAGTTTAGCGTCTCCAATATCTTGCTGTTATTGAAAATTTCAGCACAGCTAGCTACATGGCAACTGCTCGTGCTATGCTTATATAGTCGGTAGCATGCATTGATTTGTTCAATTTCTTTTCAGCTAGTGCATGTTATTATCATAGCATGATCAGTTGCCGTAGCTAGCTAAATATATAGTTGTATAAATGCATGAAGTTAGTTGTTAGTTTTTTTGCTATTTGATGTTAACGTATTGTCCTTGGGTTCGCAGTAATTGGCTAATCGCTGTTGCGAATACCCTGCCATATAGTCTAGTTAATTCGTTAAATTATTACTTTGTAATAACTGTTAATACTATCTGGCAAAGTTAATAAATTAAACCAAATCAGTCGATTTTAGTGCTTTTGGAAATGGTTTTAGATGCGTCCAATTGGAACCAATCCCTAGACAAATTTGCCAATTTATAGCTCATCAGAATGGTTTTGGACGTGTCCAAAACCAACCTTGCAGGAAAATGCAAATCAATTCATCGATTTCAAAGCTAATGAAAATGGTTTTGGATGCATCCAAAACCAATCCCTGGACAAATGCAAACAAATTAGCCAATTTATAGCTCATGAGAATGGTTGCGGATGTGTTCAAAACCAATCCTGCGAGAAAAATGCAAATCAATTGACCAATATGTCCAAAACTATCCTAGAGAAATGCAAACCAATTCGCTGATTTTAGCAAAAAATCCCCAGACAAGTGAAAACAAATCAGTCGATTTTAGTGCTTTAGCTTTTGGAAATGCTTTTAGATGCGTCCAAAACCAATCCCTAGACAAATGCAAACAAAATAGCCGATTTATAGCTCATGAGAATGGTTTTGGATGCGTACAAAACCAAACCTATAGGAAAATGCAAATCAATTGACCGATTTTAGCACTAATGAAAATGGTTTGGGTGCATCCAAAACCAATCCCTAGACAAATGCAAACAAATATATTAGCCAATTTATAGCACGTAAGAATGGTTTTGGATGTGTCCAAAACCAACCCTGCAGGAAAATGCAAATCAATTGCCCGATACGTCCAAAACTATCCTAGAGAAATGCAAACCAATTCGCTGATTTTAGCAAAAAATCCCCAGACAAATGAAAACAAATCAGTCGATTTTAATACTTTTGGAAATGGTTTTAGTTGCGTCCATAGCCAATCCCTAGAGAAATGCAAACAAATTAGCCAATTTAGGGTTCATGAGAGTGGTTTTGGACGCAGAGTGGTTTTGGATGCGTCCAAAACCAACCCTATCGGAAAATGCAAATCAATTGACAGATTTTAGCGCTAATGAAAATGGTTTTTGATGCATCCAAAACCAATCCCTAGAAAAATGCAAACAAATTATCCAATTTATAGCACATGAGAATGGTTTTGGATGCGTACAAAACCAACCCTGCAGGAAAATGCAAATCAATTGCCCGATATATCGAAAACTATCCTAGAGAAATGCAAACCAATTCGCTGATTTTAGCAAAAAATCCCCAGACAAATGAGAACAAATCAGCCGATGAAAACAAATCAGCGCTTATAGAAATGGTTTTTGGATGCGCCAGCACCATTTTGGTTTTGGATGCATCCAACACTATTTTGGTTTTGGATGCGCCAACACCATTTTGGTTTTGGATGCATGCAACACCATTTTGGTTTTGGATATGTCCAACACCATTTTGGTTTTGGATGCACCAACACCATTTTGGTTTTGGATGCATCAAACACCATTTTGGTTTTGGATGTGTCCAACACCATTTTGGTTTTGGATGTGTCCAACACCATTTTGGTTTTGGGTGTGTCCAACACCATTTTTGTTTTGGATGTGTCCAACACCATTTTGGTTTTCGATGCATCCAACACCATTTTGGTTTTGGATGCGTCCAGCACCATTTTTCTGTTGGATGCACCAATACCATTTTGGATTGGATGCCACTAACACCACCTTGGTTCTGTTGAAAATTATAATCATTCTCATAAAATATAAGTTTAAACTTTCTCAATACTGCAATGCAGTTGAAATACACTTTTCGTCTAAATGGTTGGTTTAAAATTTCTTGATAAAAGAATCGAACATTTGAAAATTTTGCAACACAACTTCGGAGATGTTTTGGGATTTGCAATTTTTGGCAACCTTTATCCAACTATTTTCAATATTTATTGCAAATTCTTCATGAAATCGTAAGATTTGTCTAAATTTGAGTTAAATAGAATATGCAACCATATTGTAGAACGTGTTAATATATTATATTTCATATTTTTATTGTACATAGTTTGAAAGTCATTTGCTGGGCTTTAATATTCATTTCTCACACATCATTAAATAATCATAGCATTTCGGCCACAGACATAGTATAATTTACATCACGTGTATCTATCTGGATACCTGTCTAGGCCAGTACTGTAATTACTTCAAGTGGGAAGGGCTTTGAACAATAGAGAAATTGAGGGATAAAAAAGGTTATGCAAATATATTTACTCTTTTGCATCGGAGCCCAGTCTCCATCGATCTTGAGAGATCGACGGCTAGAAATTTCATAACTTCGGTTCAGGGCGTGCTATGAAGACCGAAATACCACCATTCGATTCAGAAATAAAAGATCAACTAGTTCCAAACGATAGTTATAGTCATTATTAACATTGTAGCGATTTATCGGCCTTTGAAAGTCCAACACGATCATACTATATCAAATTACGCAATTGTCTGAACAAAAATATAGACTAGCCATACCTTTTGCCGAAAATAACTTCGGCCCCTTCGAACATATCGTCTTTGTAATAGACTTGTTAGAATCCCCATTAAAAACACTATTTAGAGTGTTATTTGCAAGCCTATATCTTCAAATATGTATCTTTTATCAATATATTTCCATTTCTTGTCCGACTGTGAGCTCGAGGTGAGTTAACCCCAACCGGAAATACGACTGAAAACCGTCAAAACAATGCGACGCTTGTATCGTATGACTCTGGAAAGGCCAGAAATGGATTCGCAAGGTCAAATTGCACCTACACGCGTGAGTTTGACATCATCCGGGCTCCAGGGGCTTCTTATTGGCCAATTATTGCGCAATGTACGCAAGTGCGAGTAAAACCTGACATCTTGAAAAATTCAGAATAAATATTTCTACTTGCCGTATTCAAACGAAATTTTGTACACGAAAGCGCTTGAATACAAAGAGTATTTTACACATATAGCCATTCCGCAAATGACGAAATGTTCAAGAGATATTCAAGATTTTTTGGATATGAAATTTAGAATCTTTGGCCAAGCGGTGAGTAAATATATGATTGTTTCGGTTTGTGTAATGTTCTGACGGCACTTGACCTCCCGTTTGAAAGGTTATTTTGTGAGGATTACAATGGTGGCTTTTATTTAAAAAGGGGGGGGGGGGGGTAAATACTCGCCGAGACATTTATATAAAAAAAATTGTGTCGTAATATGATGCGAAAGGGGGTTGATGCGAAGGAGTTTGCTATGTTTAGAATTATTTCTAAATACAGTAAGCTGTATTTAGAAGTTTTTTCTAACTACACTTCACATCTAACACCTTTTCTGAACGTTTGAAAACTACATAAATAAATATACCAAAAGGAAAATTACGATTTTTTATCATGATAAACAGCGTTTAATTAAACACTATACAGCAATAATACAACAACTCACCATGGTAATGTTTAACGTGTAATATATATTCACCATTTTCCACGAGATAAAGCTTTATTATTATTATTATTATTATTATTATTATTATTATTATTATTATTATTATTATTATTATTATTATTATTATTATTATTATTATTATTATTATTATTATTATTATTATTATTATTATTATTAAAACTTTATTTAGGCACGGTATTACTCATCAGGATTTACATTATATGGGCTACATTAACTAAACTATATTACAAAAACTACGGTGTTACAAAGTTATCTGTATACCTGCTTTCCATGAGGGCCGTGTATTAAAAATAGCCATTAAAATTTATAAAAGACTTCTACAGCCCGCTCGAAAATTGTCAAGGGACTGTGCTTGCCGCAACCCGATTGGAAGACTGTTCCACAACACAGCGCCACTATAACTAGAGCTGTTTTTCAAATAGTTTGTGCGAGGCATAGGAACAGCTAATTTATTCTCA